AGGGGAAGAAAAAAAAAAGAGAAACACTCCAATGCCTAGAATCAGAGCAATGACCACGTTTACCATGTCCTGGTGATGACTCAGTTTTTGTTATGTTTTCTTTGTAAATAGGTGCATTATGGTTCTATTATAACCGTGTACTAAAGGATTGCTGCACATAAAACCTGTTGTCACTCATTTTGGGAAGTCTTTGATGTTGATCCCAAACCCTATCCCCAAATGTATACTGAACATGGAAAGATAATACTATAGTTTAAGTAGGCTTCCAAAAATGCATATACTTCATCAATGATTATCCAGGCCATAAGTGCACTTAACACTGAATTCTGTTAAAACAGAATAAAGAAAAGGATTATTTTATTAAATTGGAAACACACTTCTTGACACTGGTTTCCAGTGTTTATCTTACTATTTTATAAGGTCTGTTAATGATGGGGAGAAATACTCTTGATCTATGGAATGGTAAACAAAAAGAGATCTTAGAAATTATCTAGTCCAACCTTTTTACAGGTAAGGAAAATAAGACTCTAAAAGGCAAAGTCCACCATAATGCCAAAAGTCAATAGAAGAGTTAGCTGGACTTGAATCCATTTCTCCTGATTCCCCAGCTGTTGGACCATCATGCAGTGACAAATGGGTTCATTTCTGTGACATTTTACATAATGTCTTTCATAAACATCATTTCCCAGGACCACTTTTTAAAAACTACTAGGACCACCTATTATGTTGAGGATAATCCTATTATCCAATTTGAGTAGTATTCTTCATTCCCCTCCTCTTTTGTTAAAATGCATCCCTGAAGCACGAAAAATATAATTTTGTGAAATCAACATTGACATGCTTCCGTATATCAGTGCATCTCTGACCTCATCCATATAGGGTATTCCTTCTTTCAGTACAGATTGCAATCCATCCACATCTTCTCATTTGATCTTTGTCCTTGATTTTCCCATATGAGAGATTAAAACAGTCTTTGCACACCAAACAAATACATTAATGAAACCATATTGACAAAAGTAAAGTTGAAGGAACCTTGATAAAGAGGTCTCTCTTGTGTTCTCTGAGCTGCTAAATATGTCATAAAGAACATTCAAAAAGAGACGCATTACCAGATTACTAATGACATATCCAAACCTCAAAGTGGGAAAAATAACTAGGGGTTTTTCAATTCTTTCTGACTTACATAATCAGAATTCATATGAGAGAAGGCTGCTCACCTCATATATATAGTCAGTTACTTTACATCACTTTTCCCCAAAATGAGATTATTTTTTAGGGAAAGATGGAAGTCCTTTTTTTTTTTTATCATTTGATACTACATAGAGATGATGTTTTAAGTGCTGTTCATAATTTTACAATCATGCATACAAATTTAAATTCATGTTAGTAAAATTAATCACAATTTAATAACAAGTTTTCAATCTAAAAAGTATGTGACTGGTATATTTCAAGCCTCAAATTGATACATATTTAATATAGATTTAATGTAGATACAATAAAAGGAAGCTAAAATTCACTTCAGGAACTTCTATATTTCTGTAGGAAATTAAGGAAATATCTCATCTACTACTAATTCTTGCTACTCTATATACTAGCAGAATCCTTTTTCCTTTCCTTTTTTTTTTTTAAGCATGTATTTTATTGCTGAACTAAAGGAGGAGGCAGAGTGTGGGAAGGAGATGATGTCCAGGCATAATCCTAGATTTTATGACTCCAAGTCTGTTACTATGATTGTATATTACATCTGGCTACTGTTGTTACTTATAGGGGAACCTGGGAACTTCCACCAGTCCAAGCAGAACGTATCTAACCCCACCTCCCCAAGTACTCTGAAGACTTTGAGCAATTAGTCTTTGTTGATACATCTTTTATAATTTTCCATAGTAGTCATAACCATAACAACTGACATTTCTATACCAAGGAAATCTTGCAATATTTTTTCATTTGAGCTTTATAACAGCTCTGTGTGCTAAATGTGATAGATATTATCCCCATTTTTATAGTTACATGAAGCACAGAGACTCTCACACATGGTCACAGAGCTAGTTGGAGTCAAGAGGCAAGATACAAAGCCAGGTCTCCCCTTGGTTCCAAATCCTGCACACTTTCAATGCCTCAATTCATCATGCTTCACTTGGTCTTCAGCAAACAGCATTTATGCAGACTTCTTTCACTGCTTAATCTCCTATACTCCACTCCCAGTGAAATAGTTCTCTTAAGCAACTTTTGAATTTCTAGAGGCAAAAGCATTCTCTCCACTCTATGCTGAGAAGTTCCTATTTGGGAAATCAAGGAAAACTTGGACCAGTTGCTCTGTAATCTTTGTGATGTACTTAAGAAGTAGATAGAAAGCAAACAGCATTATCAACCCCTTTCTTAAAGAAAACAGGAAGGAACACCTCCCTCACCCCAAGTCAAAGTAATCTCTCCCTCAGCAGATTCCTCTGTCCTTTTCCTGGACTTTCCCCTTGCATCTGTCTCTCCCTCCTTTGTTTCACAACTCACAGCCTCAGACATTTGGAACTGGAATATTAGAGATCTACTACTAGCTCAGACTCTTCATTTTACAGATAACAGAAGACCTTTTACAGAAATACGGGGCCTTTGTGGAAGAAGCGAGGCACCAGAGAAAGGACACTGGTTTTGGAGTCAGAAGACCTAGGTACAAATTCCACCAGTGACACTGCCTGTCTGACTCTGGGCAAATCACTTAACCTCCTTTGGCCTCAGTTGCATCATCTCTAAAAGGAGGAAGACGGACTAACTGGATATCTCTGTTATTGTTCAGTCATGCCCGACTCTTTGTGACCCCATTTGGGGTTTTCTTGGCAGAGATATTGGAGATTTCTCCTCCAGCTCATTTTACAGATGAGGAAACTGAGGCAAACAGGGTTAAGTGACTTGCCTAGGGTCATACAGCTAGTATGTGTCTGAGGCAGGATTTGAGTTTGGGAAGACTTATCTTCTTGACTCTAGGCAGGTACTGTATCCATTGAGCTACTTAGATGTCCCTTCTGTCTCTAGACCTATGATCTAACATCTAGTGTCCAGCGAGATGAAATGTATTGTCCAAAATCACACAGATAATTCTGATTTTCTCTTACGAGATTGCAAGCAGCTTGAAAGCAAGATCTACTTAAAATCTATCTTTGCATTCCCATTGCCTAGCACACAATACATTAACATATCTTTTTAAAGTTTGGACCTGTGAATTCATTATGTAGGGAGTGTTTATTTAGTATTTGTTAAATTGAACTGAATGACTGTGGAATAGAGGTAGTATAATTTAATGCCTTACAATTTTATCCTCCATAGAGGTGCTCCAAAGTTTCATCATGGAGTAGATGAGAACCCATTAGATTGTAAGCTTCTAGAAGGCAGGGATTGTCTTTTGCCTCTTTTTGTATCCCCCAGCTTTTAGCTCAGTGCTTGATGTATAGCAGGCACTTAATAAATGTTTATTGAATTAAGTCAAATTTCTGAATTCTCAAAGTGCGTGAAGCAAAACATAAACTCTGATAGGTCATACCAAAATGTATGGGCCTCTCAATGTACTATATGCTTGTCATCTAGAAGTCAGATTAAGTAACCTAGGAAAGGCTGACCACCAATAGGCTAACCACCAGTTAAGGCATTTGTTTACCCTTTGCTGCTCCTGAAGATGGCCTACTCTGGTTTAGAGGGGCTGTGATCTGCTATGGTGGAGAGATCCTTGAAATGCAATTGTATGACTTCCTATCCATTTTCTCACTTGATCCTTAAAACAACCTGCTGAGGTAGTCAGGGCTGATAATAGTATCTCTGTTTTATAGATAAGGAAAAAAAGACTCCAATATGTTAAATGACTTGTCCAGAGTTATATGCATTATGCATTCCAATGCATTAAATGTGGGACTAGATGCAATGTTTATCCATTATGCCCTACTTCATCTTGCCTTAGTGAAGAGAATGAATTGTTAATTAAGCACTTCGCATGTGGCCTCCACAGATTCTCTGCCTTAGGTTATGTTACCTTTCATTAATTACTCTGGAAAGACAAATTGTATGGCACTCTGGTAAAAATGAATACTACAGTATTTCAGAAGCTGTATTCAAGATTCTTTGATATTCAGATACACTATCCCTTAATGTCCTTTATTCACTCTTTCCCTTTAAGAGCAAAAACAAAACAAAAACTGGGGGCAGTTCTGTAGAAAGAGAGCTGAGTGGAGTCTCAGCTGCTGGAGTGGATTAAGCTGAGGCTCCTGGGCAAAGAAAGATGAGCCGGGACCATCCAAGGCACAGGCTAAGTTGGGTTGATTTTGGCATGGATCAGATATTTGGGAGGTGGGATGTGGTTATACGGTCAACGTGAGAGGCAATAGGATGGTAAGAGCACCAGTTTTGGAATAGCAGACTTAGGTTTATTCTTCTGCCTCCAACATTCAATAAAAGGAAGCACCTATTTGGGGCAGGGTATTGTGCTAGATGCCAAGGGAGACAAAAAGTGTAGATAAAAGATGATCCTTAAACCCATGGAAATTACAGTCTAGTAGGAAGATAAGGACTTCAACCCAGATGGCCCATAATGCATGAGACAATTACACAACAGTATTATGGAGAAGTTGAAGGGGAAAGGTTATTGCCAAATTTATTCAATCACTGTAAACTTCTTGGATGATGAGGCATTTTGTGGGGGTATGCAGGGGTAGTTAGTTCAAAAGGCAAACATGGGAAATGAGGTCATTTCAGGCCTAAGAAATGGCCTGAGCAAAGGTATGAAGGTGAGAGAATGCAGTAGCTATGACCAGGTAAGTGATTAATCTCTCTACACCTTGGTTTCCTCATCTGTAAAATGGAAGTAATAATAATAATAATAGTCATACTACATAATTAACAGAATTGTTATAAAGCACTTTGTACATTATAAAACACTGTATTCAGTTATTTGATAAGTATTTATTAAGCATCTGCTATATATAAAATGTAAGTTATCATTATTACAACATGATCTTGGTTGGGGCAACATAATGTGGAATATGCCTGTATTGGAAAAAAAAATCTAAAAATACTTAATAAATTAGCATAAGCATATGAATGACCATGAACTACTTGAGTCTCCAAAAGTGTAATTTATATTAAGAATCGTACTTTATAGGCCAAATTTGATTTGAGTTTCATTTACTGTGTGCTGAATTACTATATTTCATAAGCAGATTGACATTAATGACTAAACAGCTGGACACCCGACTACATCATTTACACATAAAAATGTTATGATTGTATAGGATCACAGAATGAAGACCAGTTGTCAAACTGTATGTTAGGAATAATAAGTTACACTGGGAATACACATAGTAAAATTCTTATAAGTCCACTGTCAAGAAAAATGGTCTAAAATATCAATGTTAATTGCATTAGGCTCTTTTAGTACCCTACTCTTATGATGTCAATGCCTCCTGATGTCAAAGAGGTGATCCTGGGTTCTTAGAGGCTATGCTAGTGGAACACAAGCTTTGGCAGGTGTCAACCAAGCTAGAAAGGCTATGGGTACAATCCTGTCAATGACCAGCCTGTCTTCTAAGGGATCAGCCTGGCTAAGTTAAAAAATACTCATAAGCAGAGGAGTGGTAACTTATTGATGATTTTTTTGGACATAGCAACTTAGGAAGAACTGTCTCCTAAGGCATGAAGGGGTTATGATTAGCTTTGGTGGAAGGAGTAGCCATACTAGTTCAATCACAGACCTACTGAAGTAATTGTATCAACAGATACATTGATCTCTCTTGACAGATCTTCAAATTTCCTTAGGTTAAAAAAAAATCCAGTTCAAACATTTTACTATGAATCCTTCATAAGATCAATCTTCCAGAAAGATTTTTCTCTTTATCAACTAATTAAAATGTTTTGATTCTCATAGGTCTATCAGCCTAGGAAATCTAGCATCTCATAAAATCCATTTATTGGGAAACCTTATCAACTAATGGGGAAAAGTCCTTCCTTGAAGGAATATTCTTGCGGAATAATTTGTGACCATGGGAATTGGTATTTTCAAATGTATATCCTGGAGGGGAAGTATAGCTAGCTGGGCACGTCTCCTGTATCTTTGCTGTATACTGTGTAGAGTACACTGTTGTATCATCAAATGGTTCAGAGCTGTGACAGAGAATGGGGACAGGTTTGAAACTCAGTGTTGGAATTAACTCATGTGGTATATAATGTGATCTAAAAGTGGTCAAGCCTTCAAACTTCCCAGATGGATTGGGAATCTGATTGTTGGGCTTAATCATTCCTAGCTGACATGGTTTGTCCCATAGTTTGAAATCATCTTTCGTGGTGCTTCTTGCTTGAAAAGGAAACTTAGTGATACGTGAATAAACTTGCTTTTTGGGAGCCCCTGTGGTCATGTGAGTTGAAATATTATCTTGTTGGATTTTGCTATTTTGCTCCATGTGACCTGTTGAGGGAACATCCTCTGTTAACTTTCGAACCTTGGGCAACGGAGTTTCCCATGACTGAAAATTATCCCGGAATTCTGTGTTTTCCCTAAATGGAGCATTTTTTGCCACCTTGGCAATTGTAGGTCTACAAATCTTTGCAGGTTCTCCAAAAAGGCCTTTGTAGGCATGGCGGTGGGTTGTTAAATCATCAAAGAGTTCATTGTTTGGCTTGTAAACTTCTTTTGGTCTTATAAATTTGGGTTCTAGCTGGTGAGGCACGTATGATGAGCGATGGCTTGTAATAGCATTAAAGGGAATAGCAGAATGAGAGAGTAGGTTCAAAGGTTTAAAGTTTGACCTAGGACGTAGCTTTTGAGGACTTAAGTCATCCTGAAATGTAGATTTCTCTGTAGGCAGATGTTTAGCAAGTTCACTTTTCTCAATATTCCAAGGTCTGAAATCATCTTTAAGATAAGAAAGCCTTTAAGCATAAAATGAAAATTCAAAGACATTGATTCTTAAATAATTGCTCTATTAATATCACTCCCTTCTGTCACTGCTAATAATCCTCCTGTCTTTAGAAATCTGATCAACTTCTAGCTTCTATTCCCTGTAACATTTATTCATTTGGCAACTAACCACAAATTGCCTTGTAACATTACTTATCTTATTGGACTAATTTTTTTCTTGTATTATTTAACTTTTCACATGTATGCATTCATGTCTTGTCTCCTCAATTTGATAATAAGCTCCTTGCGAGTAATGGAAATGTTATTGTACATATTTGTATCTTCCATAATGCCTAGCCTTAAATATAGTATGTACTTAGTAAATATTTGTAGGGTGATCAATTACTATCCAATGTGTCCAGGAATTAATAGTTTCTTCAAACTATAGACCTGGAATTGGAACTCACATTAAGAACAAGTCTTCTCTCCTGGATAAATCTTTTCCTTCCTCTAGTTCCTCTCTTACTTTCCCCCTGCCCCAAACTCCCTGATAGATGCCTGAGTCAAAGTCAATTCTCACTGGTCCCTTCCTCTTTTTCTGTGATATCACATTGTACGTGCTTATGTTTGTCTCATGTCTCAACATCTAGAATATTAAAGGCTGGCGCTCCTTTGGTCTTGCTGGGGGTGGGCTGCTAGTAGTGGGGGGTGGGAAGGAGGTGCTTTCCAAAAGCTGCCTCTAAAAAGAGAGTTTTAGGGAAGGAGGCAGGGAACTCGAAGGAAATCCCACCTTAAAGAAATTGAATCCAAAACTTTTGCTTTTTATCCAATGTGTCAGACAGAATGTGTGCATGTGTGTTTGAGAGAGAGAAAGAGAGAGTGGAAGAGAAAGAGGAGGAGGAGGAAGAAGAAGGAGGAGGAGGAGAAGGAGGAAGAAGAGGAAGAGGGGAGGATCTAACTGTACCTCACATCATGAAAACTCAACACTGATGTTATTTATATAGACCCTAGAAAATTCAACAGAGAAAATTTACAACAAAATGTTAGGCATTACCATGGTGCGGTAGAAAAAGCTTTCAGCTTGAACTCAGAAGAGCTAGGTTTGAGTCTCAAATCCTTCTACTTGCTATCTGTGTTTCCCTGGGTAATGATTCATTGACTCTCTCTGAGCCTCTCACTTTCCTCATTAATAAATCTAGGTAACTAATTATTGTACTACCTACTACCTCACAAGGTGGTGGTAAGGAAAATATTTTGTAAAGAGCTATATAAATGAATTAGTATTAGTATTCAATTCTGAAAATATCCCATGAGAAGCTATGGTACTATGTATTAGTAAAGGGGTTTTAGCCATAGATGATATCTAGATAGAATCTTGATGTTTTGATAGATATGTATCATATTTTCTTTCTAAATATATGTATATATAATTATAATGTTAATAAGAAATAACAGGTGGCAGATTTAATACTAAATAAGCCATTTCTACTTATAGATCTCTCCCCATGTAAAATGATTTTACATTTACTTGCATTTTTAACTACTCATAGTTTATTATCTTTGCCTGAAAGGAGAAGGGAGAGGTAAGAAAGTGAATGGGGGGATGTCCCTAAAATTGCTGACTAGTATGTAATATTATACACTTAGGATAAAATTTATGTCAATTTTCTACTCATTGATTACCTGTCTCATTTCCCCACTGTCACAATTACTACAAACCTTTTCTCTCTCCTTAGGGGCCTAAATGTGCCAAATCAGATGGCCTAGCCCTCTACTTCCCTGAGATTTAAAATGAAATGGAAACTCTCAACTATCTTTCTCAGAACTTTTCCACATGGTCACTCATTTCTCTCTCCTTCCCTCCTGTCTCAAGGAAAGAAGCCATCTAGCTTACTCTCTCTGTACCCTTGATCTCAGCCTTTCTGCCTCCTCCATGACATTGACTCATCCAATCATCCCTTCTCTTTCATGCATCTTGACTCCTCCATTGGCTCCCTTATACCTGCCTACAAACATGTTCAGTACTAAAACAAAACAAAACAAAACGAAAAACAAAAAAAACCAAAACAGAACAAAACCAAAAAGACCTTCCCTTGACCTTTCCACCTTACCCAGATCTCCTTTACTTCTAAACTTCATGAAATCAGCAAATAGAGCTGTCCAGAAGTCACTTGGAGATGTGGGACTGGGGCTGAAAAGGCAGATGAAGCCTAGATATGTAGATCAATTTTCTCTACTTATTTCTCGAACTGCTCCTTCTCTTAGACCCTAGTACCAGCCCTCATTACCACTTTCCTGGGCTACTGTATCTTCTTCCCATCTCCCATCTTCCCATCTCCACTCTAACCCCTTACATGACATTCTTCACATAGCTTATTTTCTTCATGTACAGATGAATTCATGTTAGGTGTTTGTTCAATGGCTCTCTTGCCTCTCAAATAAAATCTGAGATCCAAGGCCTTCTACAACATTTCTAGTATTTTTCTACTTCACTTTACCCCTCAGTCACTATCTTCATTGAGGTTCTCTCAAAACCTCGCTCACTTTGTTTATTGTAATAGCATCCAAACTGGCCTTCCTACTTTCATTCTCTCTCCTCTCAAAATCCATCCACCACACAGCTGCCAAAGCAACTTTTCTTTGTAAGGTGCACATGTGACTAGGTCACTCCTCTCCTATATAAATATGAGCTGCCAAAATGTCACTGAAAGCATATATGTATACACACACACACACACATATATATACATACACATACATACATACATATATACATATATATCTATAAATCCGGCCTCAGATGTTTGATAACATATTAGCTGTGTGACCCTGGGCAAGTCACTTAACCCTGATTGCCTCACAAAAAAAAAAGCATATATATGGACATATACACACATACACCTATGTGTATATGTATAATATTAGTTATAGTATATATGGTACATATGTAGTATTTTATGTATGTAGACACACATATATGTATATAAACATATATATTATATATACAAATATATATTTCTTTTCAAAGGCATTTGAGAAGCTCATATTTGACCCAACAAAGTTTATGAAAAATATCTAAAAATCACTATATCAATTACACTAAAAGTAAGTGCTGGTTACGTTATTCCTTTTAAAAATGTGTGCTATTACCTTTATAGGTAGGAAGAGTATCCAGCTTTTCTTTTTTAATAAGACGTCTGTCCAGAGGCCTCATTGTTTCAGCAGGTTGTAATGGGTAAACGTTAAAATTCTGCTTATAGGTGGTTGTCATATCAGTGTCCACCATTTTTGGCCTGTATTCTTCTGGTGCATGAACCATTTCTTGAAATGTGTCACGGGGAAGACGTTCAGACCTGAAATAACACAACATGGGACATTCCATAAAGGATATTTATTTTTCACTTCATGAAATATGGGTACTGAGGGCATTTGGCATTTGAAACGTAAAACCAAGTCGTATTATAAGAAGTTCAGAGTTAGAGGTAACACTTGTACCGTGTATAGCACCTTTTCCTGGTCTCCACAATCACTCAAAGATTATGAGCAGTGGCCCCACAATCATTTCCACTGGGTTTCTTGCTACTTGATATGTCTCTCAGAGTTAAAAATGATCAATTAAGTCCTATCTGTTCAGTGTAGACTCTCTCTGAACTTTAGCAAAGTGTTAAGTTCTGGAAGGGATAAAATTCAACATCTACCCAATTGATGTTTTTGAGAGACGTGTGGTACCATGGAAAGTACACTATCATTAGAGGCAAATGGTCTGGATTCACATCTTGCTTCTGTCCTTTAGTACTTGTGTGACCTAGGGCATGTTAGCTTATTTCTCCGGGTTTTCGTTTCCTCTTCTGTAAAATGGGGAAGTGAGCCAGATGGACTCTAAGTTCCCTTCTGTCTCCAAATCTGCCATTCTAGGTCTTCCTGTCATGAAAGGAAGATCCTAAAGAGAAAGACAATATACTTGAAATATATGAGATACCGTGAGAACTGGGTTCTAGTCCAGGCTCTTCTACTAAATGGCTGGTCAAGTCACTCAACCTTTCTAGATCCCATTTTCCTCATTTGCAAAATAAGGTTAAACTGGATGACTTCTAATGCCCTTTTCAGTTCTAACAGTCCATGTCCCATTTCACTGATAGAACTGGTGGACTGTTCCAAGTCTAGGCATATCTAGCTCTATATAGGTATTGTAGATAGCCTATTTCTACAAGCCTTTTCCTCTTCTATGGAAAGAAATTAAATTAGTCTGATATGCTAGGTTAGACAATCTTTTAACCTTCTGTTTTGCTGGGTGTTTATTATAGGAATTTAAATTTAGAATGGGAAGGGATGTCAGAGTTCATTTTTTGTAATATCTTCATTTTTACAGATGAAGAAACTGAGGTCCAAAAAGTTAAGTCAAGTCAGCAAGTATTTATTAAGTACCAACTATGTGAAAAGTACTATGCTAGGATTTGAGGATACAGAGAAAGGCAAAAAAACAAAACAAAAAAAAACAAAAAACAGTCCCTGCTCTCAAGGAGCTCACAATCTAATGGAGTTGTGATAATAAATAATAAACAGATAATAAATAAAAGAACCAGGCTTCAAATCCAGCCTTTGACTTTAAATCCATGGCTGTTTCTATTATACCATGATGGTGCCATGCCTTACCCTTCATAAGGTCAAGCTGATTACTATTTTTTTAACTTTCTACCTAGGATTAGTCAGGCAAAATGACTACAAATTATGGAATAAAAATCCTGTTTCTCACCTAGCTATGAATCTGGTTCACTTACCTTTGTGTGCAAAGTCATCAGCCTCCTTGGATTTCAGTAGTCTAGGTTAGGTTGCTTGGCAAGGACCCAAAATTTCTGGGGCATAGTCTCTGAAATATTGTGGTTTTTAAACTGAGAACTGGTAAACCTTTGGGGTAAGTCAATGTTATTCAGACTATTGTACACTGTTCACATATCTTCTCTTTTTTATTCTTAAACCTTCAGAAATTCCATTCTTAATTAGAAATCCATAGATACTCACTTGAGGGAAATTTTTCTCTGAATTGTAGTGACCATGACTAAAAGGACTGGATGAAATGAAGTCAAGAGCTGCATTCAGCATAAGGGCTATAGAAAGTCTCCGTCACTGCTATACACAAGTGGGTTGGGCTCTACCTGAATCAAAATGATACCAGGATGCTGGCATAAACAAATGAAAAATGTGATGGAGCAATGTAAAAATAAAAATTAAAGAAAACTGGTGTAGGGAAAAGTTGGAAAATATCAGAGAAAATAAAACAGTTGATCAACTGAACAAATATGGACAGTGGCAGAAAAATCCCCATCAAAATGTGAACTTCAGAATAATTTTACCTTTTTCCCTCTACTTCTTTTTTACTCTACTCACTATTCCTTATCTTCAGTCTTATTTTTTTTCTTTTTTTTTTTAAGTCTTATTTTTAAACATCTTTTCTGAGCCTCAAAATTAAATAGTTAGGTTTCTCCTTAGGTCATCTCTACTTCAGCACAAGTTACTAGTTTAATATAAAAGTGAGAATCCCACTTCCAGCAAGGATGCTGATATGCAAGATGCAAGCCAAGTCTGGCCTTCTCAAGAAACTGACATAGAATGGGAAAAACTGGCAGGTGGAGCAAAGGAGAAACCAACAGAAGAGGTAAAGCTAAGAGAGATATCAGTTATCTTACCCACACAAAGGGAGAGAGATAATAAAGGGCCAAGTAATGAGTTTCAGACCCCAGCCTACTCCAGGAGTAACAACGGGCTCCAATCCTTCCCAACTATGAGAGAGGATGGGGCACAGATAACATGGTTCCTGTATTTGTGTCTCAATCCCCAGCTCCCTCAAACCAAACCTAACTGCATGGGGGAGCAGATTTTGGCCTGGTATAATACCAGGGCAGAGTGTGGGAAGAAGGTGAGTAGGTGCTGTTGGTGGAGGTGTCAATTAGCCCAACTGTTACGAAAAACAATATGGAATAATATTTATAAAGTCACTAAACTGTACATAGCCTTTGACTTGAGTGATGTCGCTACTAGGCATATACTCCAAGGAAATTAAAGACTGAAGAATAAGTCCCATATATAGAAAAAATACCATAATAGCAAAAAAGTAGAAGGAAAGTGGGTATCTATCCATTGGTTTGGGGGGATGACTGACCAAAATGTGAATTATAATGTAATGCAAGAAGAAGTCATAAACACGAGGAATTCAAAGGAACATGGGGAGACTTATATGATCTGATGCAAAGCAAGGTATGCAGAATCAGAAGAACAATTGACATATGACCACAAGACTGTAAAAGATAAGTGCATTAGAACTCATCAACGTATTGTCCAGTTGTGATTAGTGGTGACTACCTGTGACCAAGACCACATGAAAATGAAGCGTGCCCTGTTACACAGCAAAAATCTGGTGGACAATAGGTGCTGAATAAACTATACATTTTCAAACATGGCCAATTTACTGATTTGCTTTACTCAACAGAATTTGTTTGTTGCAAGGGAGAGTTCCATTGGGTTGGAAGAGTCATTAGGAAAGGACAATAATGTCATAAAAAATAAAACACATCATAAAACATATTTAAAGACTAGAAATAGCTTTGCCCCCATTGCATATAAAGTGCAATGTGGACTATTTACTTAAATGCTATTATTTCTTACATTTTGCCTTCATTTGCTTGATGTTTATGCTTGGTAGATTTAATATTTTGTGAAGGAATAACATGTTCAAAGCTGGTAAATTTTTCTGAATATTCAGTGGTGGGGCAACTCAAATCTAGTTCTTCATAAATCCTTGTAGGCCTCCGAGGACAGCGATGGAGCCTGTGTAAACACAAATAAATGAACTGAAACATGGTTTCAACTTTTAAAAATATTTTGCATATCATGAAATCATTATACTGTACCTCATGATATTACCCAGAAATCCCCAACACACTTAGGGATCTTTACTTAAGAGCAGCTTCATTTCCTTCTTTGTTTATGTTATGTCTGAGACTTTTCTTTAGGACCAATCTGACATGCCAGGCTGACCTTAGATTGCCAATGAAAGAAAAACCTGAGGTGTAGGTCTGAAATCTTGCCCCCTTCCAGAGCTAGAATAAAGTCTAGAAAATACAGACTGGGTGCCACTCAGGGAAGGGCAGATACCTTGAAAGAAGATAGCTGTGCTCTTTAAGAGAATGTCTGATTTATAGAATCACGGGATCTCAGACCTAGAATAGCTGCTTATCCAATCCATACCTAAACCAGAATCCACTTTACAATATACCTCTTCAACAAAGGGCTTTTGCTTGAGGACCTCTCGATGCAGTGCATTCTACTTTGGGATAGCTCCTAATTGTTAATTGAATTCAATATGAGTTTAAGTGCCTACTATGTTCAAAGCACTGTGATAGAGATAGAAAGAAAAAAATGAAACTGTCCTTGCCCTCAGGGAGCTAATGTTTTAACCAGAAGGAAAATTTCTCCTTATATGAAACCTAAAATTTTCCTCTTTGTAGGTTTTACCCTTTACTTCTAGTTCTGCCCATTGGGATCAAGTAGAGTTGATCCCAAGTAGAGTTGACCCCAAGTAGAGCTCCATCTTCCATATGGCAGCCCTTCAAATGTTTGAAGACAGTTATCATATCCCCACCCCCATGCCTTCTCTTCTTCAGGCTAAAATCACTAATTCCTTTAACCAATTTTCATTTGATGGGCTGATATGAATAAATAAATGAGGCATTTGAGGTTCCCAATCTCTCCTTGTTTCTAGTAACTTGGCTTATTGTTCTTCAATTTTTTTCTAATCAAGCTCAATCATGTGGATGAATGATCATGCCTCAGGTGCCACCCTGCCTCAATTGAATTTTCTTCAGATGCCATAATTTCTAATTATGATTCTCCATTCACACTATAAAAAACAAATTCTGGACATTCTTCAGCCAATTGTTGCAACTCCCATATGTCTCCATCAAAAAACATCACAGAAAATATTTGAAAACACAACCAACATTCCATTCAAGTCCAAGGAGCTTTAATAGTAATAACTTACAATTTTCAATGCTTTTTAATATTATTTGATCCTTATAAAAACTCTGTGAGATAGTCAAGGCTAGTGTTCTTATTTCCATTTTACATATGAGGAAATGGAAGCTCAGATAGACTCACTGATTTCCCAAGGCTAATATCCTCAATGTTACTACACTGATGTTTTGCTTCTAGGGCCAGTGGTCTTTTCACTATTTACCTCAATATCATATTTGTGTCACCAATCCTGAATGAACTATTTGATCTTCATTCCCAATGTAGAGAGGGTACAGGTCCCAAGGTATGATTGACCACAGGATACAGATCAAGATGATTGAGGGCAAGGTCAAAAAAAGACAAAATACTGAAGTTTGAAACAAAATTGCCTCCCTCTGTTTAAAGTTCTATAAGAATCTCTACATCATATATGGTATCATTGGTCTACAGTGAGTCTTCCAATAACCCATGCTTTAGTATAACTTGGAAATGTATTACCCTAACCCTCTACATGTCATCAGAAAGCAGCTAACTTAAAATTATGATAGAAAAATTTACACCTTGTGAATTGTAAAAGTGTGATGAAAAGAAGGTTAATGCTACAAAGACATATGTAAACTGAAGGGAGTTAGTCAGCATGAAGCAGATACAGTAGACCACAATACAACAAATATTTAGGGGAAAAAAGAGTAACATAGTAATAATTTGTTAGTGTTTCTCCAGTACGGTCTAGATTTTTTTTTAAAAATTATTTGATAACCTTATTCCAGTATAATTGGTTTCCATGTAATCCTATGTCTTTTATTTTATGCATTTAAAAACATGATTCTAAGAAAGTCTTCATAGACTTCACCAGATTCCCAAAGATGAAGTATCACAAAAAAGGTTAAGAACCCCTGGTCTAGGGGGGAAAGGCTTCTCTGATTCTAGACTGGCATTTCTGGTCAGAAATATCCCTAAGAGAATGAATCAATCAATAAGCATTCATTCAGTGCCTCCTACGTGCCAGGTACTGTTAGTGTCTGGGGCTGTAAAGAGAAAAATCAAAATAGTCCCTGCCCTTGAGGAGCTTACATTCTATCAGGGAAAATGAAACATTCACATAAAAGTAGATATAAATGCGTATAAGTTAAAATCAAGGTAATGGGGGAGGGCACAGCAGCTAGGGAGATTAAGAAATGCCTCATGTGGAGCAGCTAGGTGGTGCAGTGGATAGAGCACTGGCCCTGGAGTCAGGAGGAGCTGAGTTCACATCTGGCCTCAGACACGTAATATTCACTAGCTGTGTAACCTTGAGCAAGTCACTTAACCCCAATTGCCTTCCAAAAATTAAGAAAAGAAATGCCTCATGCAGGGAAGTAGAACTAGGGTTAATTTTTGAAGGTAGCTAGGGGTTCTTCTAAAAGATGGACAGAAGGAGGTAGTACATCTCAGGCATAGGGCAGAGGGTTGGAGGGGGTAGGCAGCCTATTTTAAGGCATGTTTGAAAAATAGAGAGGTCTATTTGGCTGATGTAGAATGCATGACTTTCCAGATTCATGCAATAAGTTCTTATAGCCAGGTAGTGAAGGGCTTTAAACATCAAATGGAGGAGCTTGCATTTGATCTTAGAGGTAATAAGGAATCCCTGAGCTTTCTGAGTGGAGAAGTAGCATGGTCAGTCACACTTAAGGAATACCACTGACAGCTGCATGGACTATGGACTGGAGAGAGGAGAGACTAGAGGCAGGACCAATTAAGAGGTTATTGCAATAGTCAAGGTGAGAGGTGATGAGGATGGATAAGACTTGGCAACTGTTTAGATCTGAAGTGAATGGCAAGATAATGCCCTTGATAGAAAGTGTAGGGAAGAGGAGGGGTGGGGATTGGGGGGAAGATAATGAGTTTAGTTTTAGACCATGTCAGTTTGGAGATACTTCCAGGATGTCCAGTGGGAAATGTCCAAGGGGCATTGGCTGATTTGGGTCTGAAGTTCAGGATAGAGTAGGACTGAATATGTAAATCTGGGAATCATCTGCAAAGAAATGATAATCGAATTCTTGGGAGTTAATGAGATCATCAAGAATATAGTCAATACCTGGTTAAAATTCTATATTATCTATGTCTCAGCTGATAAAGGAGCTAAAGGGTGTTTATAATAGACCTTTGAAATAGGATAAAGATGTACCTATCTTTTAACTTTTCAGTATTGTCACACCTAATATTTTACTTGGTTCTCAAAATAATATAATGAGGAAAATAGTGTAGGAATGTTTGTTTCCATGTTATAGAGGAAACTGAGACACAGACTGATTTTCTCAATTTCATACCACATTCATGTCAAAATCTATGATTATAAATCCAAATCTCTAGACTCTAAACACAGCACTCTTTCTATCACTCCATGACTTCTTCAACATCAGTGATATTACTGACATTGTTATTTCCAGTGAGAGACTTTCCACTTAGCAGAAAGTGATTAAAGCGATGTGGGCTTATGTTGCACTATGCATATTCTCTTGCCAGGTTTCTATTGTTTGATAGTAAGGAGGTGATGCCTAAGATTATGATGTCATTCATCTTTGGTAAACAAAATTGACACAGACCTGCTAGCAATGAGGTATGTTGGAATTTAAAAATTTATTTAAAAAAAAGATCAAAGGTAAAGGAGACTGGAAATAATAATAATTATTATAGTTCATATTTAGATCTGGAGTCATAAGACCTGGGTTTGAATACTTGCTGTCACTCTGTCACCTTGTGACTCTTTAGGCAAAGTCCCTTTACCTCTTTGGTTTTGTTTCCTCATCTAATGAGCTAGATGATTCCTAAAATCCCTTCAAATTTTAAAATTCCATGTGCTCCTTTGAGGTTTACAAAACACTTTCATGGACTCACAGAATGTTAAAGTTGGAAGAACCATTAGAAATCATCTTTTCCAGCCTCCTACCTCCATTTTCTACAGGGGGAAACTGAGGCTCAGAAGACAGAAGTAAATTACCTAAGGAAAACAAAGCAAAAAGAGGGCAAAAACCAAAAATAGTATGAAGGACAGAAGGTGAACTTTATAAGGAAGGCCTCTTTGTTACTGACCATAGAAAATTACATATCATCATAGCATTGCAGATTTAGAGGTGAATATTTATTTATAAAAGGTGGTGAGAAAAGTATTTTAATTTGTAAGTAAAATTCAATGAACAAATATTTATTGAACACATTCACTTAGCATTCAACAGGCATGTATTAAATACTTATTATGTGTAAGGTTACACTAAGTGCTAGTGGATATATAAAGATAAATAAAAAATGATCCCTTCCTTCTATTAGCTTCTATAAAAAGACATGGTTACTATTTCCAAAGAGCTTATAACCTAGTTGATAAAGGCACTCAAATGCAATATGGACAAGGGTTGTCTTCTCCCTTAATGGAGTTCTCCAGTGCAAGTCCCCACAGAGGTGAGGGAGCCTGCATTCTCATTGCAGGAAGGTTTGAGATGTCAAGACAGTTTCTGGATGCAAGGATGGCTTCTGAGAGTACAAACTTATTAAAGAAGTGAGAAGACAGGAGCTACAGCATCTGAAAGATAATTTCTCCACCCCTATGTGAGCTTTCCCTGGGAGCTTTTTTCTCCATCCTATAAGGTATAGGATATTTTGCTCATTTGTGTAAAAATTTGACCAATTGTTTTTCCCTTGTTATTTACACTAATTTTATATTTTATTAAAAATTTTTATTAAGTTTTTGAATCTTGCATGTTCTGTTAATGGAGCTTGTTGGGGATTGGGCCATGATTTGCATAACTAGTTACCCAAAATGTTCCACATTGAACCTAGGA